CAAAAAAAAAAAAAAAAAAAAAAAAAAAAAAAAAAAAAAAAAAAAAAAATCCAGCAGTTAAAACAAAAACAGCTGTATTGAAGCCAGGAGTGGTGGTGCACACCTGTAATTCCAGCATTTGGGAGACTGAGGCAGGAGGATCTCCACAAGTTCAAGGCTAGTCTGGGCTACATAGTGAGTTTAAGGACATCCTGAAATACATGGCAAGACCCTGTCTCACGTTCCCCTTAATAAATGTGATATTGACAAGCTGGAGATATAGCTCAGTAGTAAAAACTTGCCTAGCATGTACAGGACTCTTTTTATAGAAAAATAAATGTGGTAAAGCTTTCTAGCTTACCTAGCAGGCTCAGGACCCAGTACTACAAAAAACAAAATGATATTAAACTGGCCCAGTTTGATTGGTTAGCACAGATGTGACAATTCTCAAAATTCTGGGATATAAGATGCTTGAGACCAATGCTTGAAAGATATCCATAAATTGCTTGCACAACAATTAACCCCCCACAGATACACTAGTTTTATACCTGTGTATTTGGGCTTTAAATCAACCAAAAATCCCACATTTCTGAAAAAATAAAAGATTAGTCAAATCAGTCTTGTACCAAATCATTGTGTCAATAATTCAGTAGTGTATAAAGCTCCTGCATGCAATGCTGAGTATACAAAGCATAAAACACAGCAAAGCAAATCAGTGGTGACGGTAACGAGTGGGCCAAGCTCAGTAGGATGCTCCTAGCAATACCGACTGTACCACAGTTAATTCTGCCTCAGAGTCACAAAAACTAGTCATTCATTCACTCATCCAAAACATATTTATCAAACTAGGAGTTATGCTCAGACCTGACAATATAAGAATAGACCAGACAGATGAGAATCCTTCACCCTTAAAGCATAAGATCTTGTGGAAGAAGGTGATAGTTAAGCAATGTGTTTATCATTTTCCAACACAACTTTGTTTTAATAGAAAATATGTCCTCTGTTCCAAAATCAACTGTGAAATTGTTTTATCTTAAACCTGAGCTCCAAGTGCCTCAGTTCCCCTCTTGGAGTTCAATATTTATAGTTTCTAAAGAAATTTCTACAGTGTGATCTATGTGATAACTGGAAGAGGCTAAGGGTGCCACGATGCATACTGTGGGGGTACCTGTGCCGGTCTAGGAGTTAGGGAATAAAGAAGCGAACAACTGACCAAAGAAATGGTTCCCTAAGCTCCCAGTTCTAAGGAGAAAGAAAAGGAGGAAGAGAAGAAAAAAGGAATGAGAGCCACCAATCATGGGCAGCCAGTGTCCCTTGCCCTTACCCAGCCACCAGACAGTGAAACCTACTTTGATCCTCGGGCAACTCAGTCCCTTGTCAGCCATTATTCCAGACATCACTGACAAATCAAGGCAACATTCTTGGGCTGGTGCACTGTGCTGAGCACCAGACTTACATGCCTAGAGTGCCCAAATCTACAGATACTCGAATGCATACCAGATGTTACCCCCTGATTTTTGGTGCTGAGAAAAAAGGGACTCGTTTAAAACTTGAGCCATGGACTGGAGCAATTGAAGAGGAACAGGAAGAATTTTCTTCCTCTCTCCAAGTGCTGTGAAATTTTTTATATTGTTCATCACAAGGAAGAGAACAGGGTAGTAAGAAATCACAGACCTGCCAGGCATTTAGCTCAGCAGTGCCATGCCTGCCTTGCTAGCATACGGGCCTTAGTTTGATCCCTGATACAAAAAAACCCACAAACAAACAAACAAACAAACAAAACCATAGACCTACACTGTACAGGGCAGACATAATTTCCTTTTTTTGAGGTTGAGTGATCCTGAGTGACTTTCCCAAAGTCACCCAACCAAGGGACCCTGGATTTGAACGTACATCTGCTTGGCTTGAGGCCTTTTCTATTCCTTCAACCTTTTCTCATATTAGTTATGACTTTGAATGCATCTTTCCCTGTGAATGCCCTGCCAAGTCCCATGATTCCCAAACTACCCTTATCAAGTGCCCTGAACCTCCAGGTTCAGATTTTCTCATCTAGGGTACAGAACTACAGGCACAGTACCTTGGGTCTGTGACATTTCTAAGGATCAAAACAACATATTAAAACCCTTAGAAGATTTACTGCCTCCATTTTTGGAAAGCAAACTGCTACATTAAAATGAATATAAAAAAATAGCTATATTGAGATGCATGTCATTAGTCAACTGGAATTGAATTCAGCACATATATAGTTTTATGTATATATGAATAAACATTTTCAAGAACATAGTAAGCCATTTTTTCAACATAGTTTAAAATTATAATAATTCTTTATTTTTTAACAAAAAGCAATATGGTTTTTTGTTTGCTTTTAGAGACGGGGTCTTGCTGTGTAGTTCAGGCTGGGCCTGAACTCACTGTGCATCCCAGGCTGGCCACGAAGTCACAGTAATCCTTCTGCCTCACTCTCCTATAGATTTATGGAAATGCACTTTGATGTGTTTTATAGGATCTCCCAAGGTCTAAGGAAGGTCCGCGGGTGGTATGAGAAAACAGGTCAAGGACATGGGACAAATATACATTGTAGAAACCACCTGTCCTCAGCTCCCAGCTGCTCTGAGATTAAGACCTCAGGAGCCACAGGCTGCAGCCGCCAACCTTGACCCAGTCAGCCTTGTCCAGGCAGGGGGCCTCTCTGTACTTCTATAACCCTAGTTTAAACAAAAGCCTGGGGGATGCCTACCCAGTAGACTGAGCCACCAAAGTTCTGGGGATCAGGGAAAACAAAGGGAGAGGGAAAGCAGAGTGCTGACAGTGCCATCAACCATCACCCACAGGGCTATAAAGAGGGCAGGCCACGGAGGAAGTGGCACCAGATGGAGACCCAGACCATGCAGCGGGAGCTGGGTGAGTAAGACTCTGAGGGTCCCCTGGCTTTTGCCCTTCCTCTCCTTTTCTTGAACAGACACATGCAGGAGAAGGTTGACTTTTCTTGTCTAGAAATCAGAGCCCTCGAGGGTAGCTAGAGAACAGTGCAAAGCTCTGGAAAACGTAGTCTACTCTTTCACCCTAAAAAGAGTCACCTGTATGGCAACAACCGTTGTCCTAGAAACCACGACTGGAGGTAGGGGGACAGGGGTCAGCAAGAAGTGAGTAGGCTCTGGGTACAGGGAGAAGGTACAGTGCTTAGGAGCAGGAAGATGTAACTTATTCAGAGGCTCAAAATAGAAAGAAATATCAGAGTTTACATGCATTAGTTCCTGGGCCTGATAGTGGTCAGAGGAAAGAGCCAGTTTGGCTCCTGGGAATGTCTATCCCGAATCAAGAAACTTAATGTATATTTGTCTTCTCTTTTCACTTTCTCTTCTTCCTTTTCCCGTTCCCCTTCCTCCTATCAATTATTCATCCTACCATCTCTGCTGTCTACCTAACCTCTATGACTCTCAACGTCATCTATAGAATAGGAATAATGATAGTATTTACCTCATAGATTTATTGTGAAGATTAAACGCATTAATGCATGTAAAGTATTTAGAACAGAGGCTGACACAGAGTGAGCCGCTGTTAAGTGTTAACTAGTATTGCACTCTTTCTTTTCATTTTTCTTCAATAAGTTTTTTTTTTTTTTTTTGTACCAGGGATCAAACTCAGGACCTTGCACTTGCAAGGCAGGCACAGTTCCACTGAGCTAAATCCCTGGCCCTCAATAAGTCTTTTTCAATGTCCCTTCTTTCCCATCCCAAGATGGGCTTGGTATGGTGCTGTATCAAACACCCAGTAGTCCTCTGCCTTGACATTGAAATGCTCACCCAGGATGTTCTCAGCAAGAATACAGATCAGTACTATTATGAGTGCTAGATAGAAGGGATAAAGCAAGTGGCTGCAGGCTGGAGAAAGAAGGAGAGTCACTGAGGTGGCAAGGTTAAGACCAGGTAGGTCTAGGAGATAGAAAAACAGAGAGGGAATATGGTAGTCTGGCCACACACTCCAGCAGATCAGTTTGAGAGCTGTGAGAACTTGCAGGGTCAGAGCCAAGGCTTCTCTTGTATCTGGAGTGTGTGGTGGGGATCCTGGCACTGCTGGACGTGTGGCCAGTCATGTGAGAGAATTTGGACTAGGCAGCTGCTTAGGAGTTTGTAGTATCTGAGACTGAGCAATGCTATTACCTAGAGGCAAGCAAGAAAACAAGCTACATTTACCAAGAGGTCACAATGCCTGTGTGGTGCTTTACCTGCATTATTGTTTCTAATCCTTATAATAACTTTGCATGTAGAAGCTTAGAAAACCTAAGCATCAGGTAGTGAGCAGGTGAGCCAGGATCCCAGTCAAAGTCCGTCTCTTGGACTTTAAGCCTTTTCTCCTCTCCTTGTGCTCTCTTACCTTACCCCTGCACGCAAAGCCACACCACTAGTGTGTGTTCTGTCTTTCAGAAACCCTTCCAACCAACAAGATGGCTCAGACCAACCCCATTCCTGGGTCTTTGGGGCCATGGAAGGTAAGCCCACCCCTATCACATGTAAAATGGAGGGGTCCAATAGGACAGGAGTGCATCAGGGTCATAGAGCAGCCACCAGGGCTGTATTTGTTCACAAGACAGTGACTAAGCAATAAAACACCAGTGTGCAGAGGAAGGGTCCACCTAACATCCAGACATTGTTGAAGGATCAATCAGGATGCCTCCTATTTAAACAGAGGAAGGAAGATCTTGGAAGCCCATGATGAGCGGAGGGAGATGATACCCTGCTTCCTAGATCAACTCTCTTGTACACTGCTAAAACCATCTTAAAACAGAACAACTTTGAGAGGATTATGCCCATGGAGAAAATGAAAGCCCACAAATGAAGAGAGATTTGAAGATGCCATGTAAGTCACAGAACCCAGGTTCATACTCATCCTGAACTTGGGTTAACCATGGGCTGAAACAGCTGACCCTCAGGCCTCTCCCTGCTTCCCCAAAGGGCCCCATTGTTCTCATTGGCTAACTCTGAAGCCAGTTCACAGTTTTGGGGGTGGTCCAAGAGCCAAGTTCTAGTTAAAGGGACTACAGCCCTCCCTCCCTTTACACATTAGGTTTTTATAGTGAATGTGGCTAGAGAAGCAAAGAATCCACAGGAAGCTTCTGGGAGTCCCAGACGTCACACTTATTCAGGAAGCTTCATGGAATGAGAGCCCATTGCACCTCTGGTCTGTCCATTTGGCTAGCTATCATTCCTGGCAGATAATTCCTATTAAAAAACAACTCCCCCATGTCTGACCCCTAGCCTGAGCATGTAATATCATCAGCCAGTGGCAAATTCAAATTTCTTACCCTGTTTACACTGAGAGATCTCATCAGACATTCTGGGCTATACCTGGTGATGGAAAATACAGGGTAAACACAACTTGAGTGTTAAGCCAGACCTGTGTGTCATTTTGTTTTGTTACTGGGGATTGAACTCAGGACCTTACGCTTGCGAGGTAGCCAGCGGCACCACTGAGCTAAATCCCTGGCCCTGGACCAGTGTTGTACCAGGTTCTAGCTTTCTTTCCCCCTTAAATCCCATTTTAGATAACCATCTATGACCAGGAGAGAGGATAGAGTTTACCAGTTCCTGTCCAAATGTCTCTGAGTGCAGTTTTGATAATGTCCGGTCCCTCAAAGTGGAATGTGGCACGTGAGTATTGACCTCAGCAAAACCCCAGGCTCCTTATTTCAAGTCCCTTAAGACATAGGACAATATGAATAGAGATAGGGGAAGAAATATGTTCCCCAGACACTAAACATTTCTTGGAGAAAAGCCTTGATCATGGAATAATTTCAAAAGAAATTATTACATGCATAATTTAGTAACCAAAGGTGGGACTTATGGTGGTAGTTGCCTAGCACCGTATTTTTTTTTGGGGGGGGATTAAAGAAATCTATACAATGTGGTGGGACAGTGACCCCATCAGGCCTGAGATGCTATCTAGGATTTCCTTAGAAACAGCTATAGCACCCTCCTGTCTTTCTTGCTTACAAAAGATAAGAGAGGATACTGTCAGGCAGCTGCTACTTTATGGCTAACTCTCCTCCTAAATGCCCCAGAGCAGATGCTGTTAATTTCTTCATGTAAAAAGGAATTTAACTCTGAGACTCCAGATAAATATTAGTTCCTATTCTTCCAAGTTTCTTCTTGATGATCAATCTTGACAAAGGAGAACCTCTCACCTTCATCTTCTGGCTCTTGGCGGGTTGGGCCAGGCCTTTGTCAAAAGTCTGAAACATAAAAGAAATAGGCAAAACTGGTGATGCATGGGGCCAGGTTTCCACAAGTTGCTTGCTGCAAAAACAGCTCTTCAGGCTTTTTGAAATAGGCAACACATTTAATGTCACCAGTAATTATGACCCAATTGTGAAAAATGAAGCTAGGGTGTTTCAACAAATAAGGTCTAAGAGAAAGCAGGAGAAAGAATCCATAAAATGACAAGGAAAAAAGTTGAGTAATTCATCAGCTGTCTATTCATTCTTTTGCTTTTTTTTTTCAGATGATGTCTATAATTTGGCTGAAACAAGTCAGTCACTAAATCATGAATTTGGAGTTCCAGATAGAGAATAGGTAACTTAGAGGGAAATAGTTTTGGTAACATCACTAGGGCCAATGAAGTGCTCTTTCATGGGAAAATTCCAAAACAAATACCATTTACAAACCTGCTTAATCATTTAAAAACCTGCTTAGTGTAGCTGCCTGCCCATTTCCACCTCTTGTGATGTTTGTTATTTTGTATGGCTCTATTGAGGTTGGCCTATTTTACTGACTATAATCTAAAATGAATGTTGCCTTCTCCCTGATACTGAGGCCATGTAGGCTTTGAATAGCACAAATAAACCCACTACCTATCTTTGGCAGCTGGATTGGTTATGAACATACCAGCTTCTGTGGGCAGCTGTTTATACTAGAGAGAATATCCTCGCTGGGATGCCTGGAGCGGGAGCAATGCCTACCACATTGAGTGTCTCATGTCCTTCCGCCCTATCTGTTCAGCTGTGTCTCTGAAATTTTCACTTCTGTGCAAGGGGATGGGCAAGAGAGGGCACTGATTAAAAAAATTATTTCTTTTCAGTAGAGTATGACAGGAAGGATAAAAGTACAAAGAGAAAAAAATAATTGCTCCTTTTTCTGAGTTGACCATTTGACCTTTCACCAGGTGGTATAAATGTTTTTGTTTGTTTTTTGAGACAGGGTCTCACCATGTAGTTGAGACTGACCTGGAACTCACATGTAGCCCAGGCTGGTCTCGAACTCACAGCAATCCTTCTGCCTCAGCCTCCCAAGGGCTGGGATTACAGGTGTGCACCACCATGCCTGGCTAGGGTTTTCTTATAGGTGGCAGGAAGCACGTACTACAGAACTAGAGGAAGCACTTACCATGCACTTTTGTGCAAAGTAAATCCGTGACCAGTTGAATTTCAATCTGTTAACTTTTTATTGCAAACAGGGTGTGTGCTAAACATTTCAGTGAGAATGAGTAGGTACAAGTTTTCAAGTATCTCTAATTTGCATCAATTCACAATAATCTTGTTTTTAACTCTAAGCCTATCAGGCTGCACTTAAGTCTTTGTAAGTTTATGCAGGAGCAGGAAGATTTACAGACATGTTAAAAATGATTCCTATATTGAGAATGAGGTCAGACTTTCTGAACATTCAGCTCCTATAGTGACTTTTTTTCTTTTTTAAACATTGAGCTATCCCCATCTTTTTTAATCTTATCTTTTTTTTGGTACCAGAGATTGAACTCAGGACCTTACATTAGCAAAGCAGGCAGAACCACTGAGCTAAATCCCCAGCCTTCCTCATGATTTTAATGACTTTACCTTAGTTCAAAGCGATACTGAAATTCAACTGGTGAAGATAACATAAATGGCTCTGAATCTAAAAAACAAAAAAATTATCTGGAAGTGACTTCATCTTCCCCCCCACTTCACTCTCTTCTTCCTGAAGGTATAACACACAATAAAATGCAGATCCTAAGCAGACTGTTGAGGGGCTTGGAAAACAAATACTTGTGTATCTAACACCCTAAAACTACAGAACCCCACCACCACAAAACTTCCCAGTACCCTTCTAGTCAATTGCTCCATCACTACTGTTTTACCTATTCAATTAGTCTCTGTCTTAATGCTTATCATAGCCATATCCCCTACTGGATGTCCAATACACACACATATTAGCACTTCTTACAGTAATTTGTGAGATTTTTTTTCCTTTTTCTTTTCTGGTAACAGGAATCAAACTCAGGACCTTGCGCTTGCGAGGCAGGCGGCGGAACCACTGAGCTAAATTTAAATTCCCTGCCCCTCCTAGTTTTTTCTTGACAGTATCAAGGACAGAACTCAGGACCTTGCACTTGCAAGGCAGGTCCAGTGCCACTGAGCTAAATCCTCAGCCCAATTCTCACATTTCACATTATGAAAAAAATTTTTTGCAGTATCGGGGATCAAATTCAGGACCTTGCGTTTGCAAGGACAGGCACAGCGCCACTGAGCTAAATCAGCAGCCCCTTTCTATAGTAGTATTAACCCCTGGGTTGGCTGTTACAAATTTTTTTGCCCAACTGTCATACTTTTTCTAAAGTATTGTATCACTTATACATTAAAAATGTTTACATTTGGATTAAGGATTAGAGGTATGATCACGTACCTTATTGTAAACCTAAGTTTCTTTCAATTTTGAAATATATAGCAAAAAAGGATGTCATAACACTTGTACAAAAGGTTAATTTGATTACAGAATCATAAAGTCTAAGATCACCATCTTTGAAAAAGAGAATTTTATTGGACTCCAGTGAGAGATCTGTGATGACTACCCCTCCTTACAAGCCATGGGTTGATTCAATAATGAAGCTGGCTCTATGAAGAACGTGGGGCATAAGTACAAAATCAGGGATGAACACTTTGATGTAATTCCTGCACATACAAACCTTGTAAACATTAATGGTCATTTTATTAGCATTCATACACTGGCATATTGGTATGGATGTCACTTTCTAGTTATTTTGGATCTCATGCTATTTGCACCAGCTAGCACTTAAGATTGCTCCTAAGCATTTATGTTATTAAATTTTTCAACAATTAAGGTTAGTTGTAGCCAACATTCTGTTCACAAACACTGCCCGATACATCAAGGCTGGCTATCATTCTCTAAGCCTGAAAGCACTACGGTGTTGAGAGGCCCAGGTTTTAGGGTATTCGTCAAGATTCCCAATACAGCAATATTAATGCATTATGCTTTTAATTTCCTAGCCGGGTTTGCTACCAGTACCCTGGATATCATGGTTATCAGTATATCCTAGAATGTGACAATCATGGAGGCGACTATAAACACTGGAGTGGGGTTCTCACGCCCAGATTTCTCAGATCCAATCTATTCGCCGTATCCAACAGTGGTGGATTAAAACCTCCAATAGGCGAATTCTTCAAGCATGAGACCTTGCTAAGCACTTAAGCTTTATGTTCTGCTCAGACACTGCTTCCAAATGTTAACTGCTGAAATCCACAATAAATGTCATTAAAAAAAAAAATCTGTAGACTGAATTAGCTATCATATCATTCTTTCACAGATCACATTTAAGTGGCTAAGAAATTTTAAAAATGAACCAACAAAACCCAAGTTCCTTTTGTGTCCTTGCAATTCACTTAGCAGGCCAAGGGCAATTATCCCCTTTTTCAAAGAAAAATAAAGCATTCAGGGCCAGGGCCAGTGGTTCTGCTGCCTGCCTCACAAGCACCAGGACCAGGATTTCATCCCCATAGATATAGAAAAATAAAGCATTTAAACCATACATTATCAGTTTCTATAGTGACTGTGCATTTTCTCCCCAACTTCTAATGTGGACTTTGGCATATTTTTTGTTGCAATGTGACCAACTAATTTTTATAACTTGTGCTAAACAGTAAGTCTCATCTAATGTGTACTACCATGTATTTTCATAACAAGTTATGAGTAAATCCAGAATACTGGCAGCTTAATGTTCTAGTTGCTTAATTACTTAGCTCAATTTTGGTTTATTTCAAATAAATGGAAAAGCGTAAGTCTCAATGTCCTCACAAAAAGGCAAAACAGCTTTTTACAGCTGATTTTTTTCAATAAACATTCTAACTCCAAGCACAATAATAACCTGCAGAATTAAAAAACAGGAAAAAAGATGTAAGAACACAGTGCATTTAAGATTTAAATTTTTCGTACATTTCATCCTTTTTGAGGAAAAATTATCAACATTACAAAATTTTTAGTAAACGTTTTTTTAAAAAAAAGCACAAAGACAAGACAAACACACCTTAGAAACTTTAAAATTTTTTATTCAACAATGTACACTTGTCTCAATTTGATCTACAAATCTCTTGGGTTTTTATTCTGATAAAATAAGTAAATCTGAGTATGGTTGTAAAGTGTAATTTTTATTTTTAAAACACTGAACATTAAGACATCAGTAAAGGAAGATCATTATGTGACACTTCCTCAGAATCCATGACATCTGAAACAGCTATAGTAAATACCTAAGCATTTAAGCAAAGGGGTAAATTTCTGGTCACTGCTCTTATATCTAAAGACCTACCTTTTTTGCTGGGCAAAACATTGAAAAAAATCATTTAGAGGAAGGGAAAATATCTAATGTAACTATAATAAACTATCCTTCCCCCAAAATTAAAAGGCAACTCACCTAAGTGCCTATGCACATCAAAAATCATTTTGCTCCTCCACGTTCTAAGACTGAACATAAGTGAATGACATGCTGAAAAGTAGCCAAAGCCAAAGGTGCTTGCTATACTTCCTTCATTTCTATCTTTTAATACCATATATTATGGGTCACTTTAAAAATCTTGACTAGTATACTAATTGCCATTATCACTGAAGATACAACAGAAGGAGGGTTTTGCTTCATTTTCAAAGTTAACATTTACCAAGTGCAAAGGCTTGATGAGAGTCACCCTCTTGTATACACAGGAAAAGCTCTAAGACAGAAGGACTTTTTAAATATCTAGGAGCATGGAGAAAATACTTTTAGTAATATCTTCTACTTAAAACTTATAGCCCCTTCCACAAAGGTCCTGAGATTACAGAAAAATCTTGTAAAAGATGACTTTGTAAGACCTGGCTAGGACATGTACACAACCTTAAGCAAACATACAGGTGAAATAAAGCTATTTAGTTCATGCAAACTGCAGTATTTGAATCAAATGTGCCCAATTTCTAAATTGTTGTAATCGGCTCGGGCAATTTTTATAAAAGATACATATTATCTTTGAAACAACCTGTGCTTTGATCTTTAAACAACTGATTCTAATCTCAGACCAATTAACCAAATTTATGATAAAGCAAGCAAAACAAGACTATCCTCTAAACCAGCTTATGACAAAATTGTCAGAGCTCCATGTAGCAAACAAACGTCCTTCATCTCAGTTTGAATTACTTCTCATTTCTTTTTCATCAAATAAGCCAAAGTGTTACTAAGAGCATTCAATGGTTTATAAAACTGGTAAAACTGCCCCATTTTAAGAAAAGCCCTTTAATGGATTCAAGTCAAGCTCTCATTTAAAACGAACTTTATTAAAATGGGTGCCAGTTCTCTAGTTCTACTGATAAGCTATCCCAGAACTACAACTTTGAGCCATGTTTCCAAAGATGGTAAAGGTAAGAACAAGAATGTAATAATGATAGGTCACTTTTTGTAATGACACACAAACTTTCAAAACATGTGCATAGCTTTATTCATCTACTTAGGTCTAATCTTTTCACGGAGCTTCGGCAAAATTTGAGTGTGCAAAATGCATTTCTAAAACGTAATGCAAGCAAAGCTTTTCACATTTACACTGGCAGGAAATACAGAGAAACTAACAAGTCACATTAGGGAGAGTTCAGGGTTGGTTTTTTTTTTAATTAACAAGAATTGCACAGTTTATTACTATGAGACAATTGTTGCAGACATATTTAAAATTTTCTAAGCAAGGTGCTTTAACAATAAAAAATTTAAAGTCGAAAAGAGCCAGTAACTTGAATCAAAGCTCACACAGAATCCCAAATTATCATGGACTCCATTATCTCCCTATATTTTGAAGCAATGCTTTAAGTAACACTTTTTATAACACTAAAGGAGACAGCAAGCTGAATTTTTTTTCAAAGCACACAAGAAATGGTGTCATCACATTACTTGAAGGTGATAAGGGTGGGGGAAGGAAAAGAAGTGAAGAATCCTTTTACTATTTCCCACTACAAAACAGCCACTAACAGACTTTAAAAATAATAAAAGAAAAACAACTAAAATAGTTTCCCCAGTTTATAAAATAGTTCCAGTTTGACAAGATCTATAACTTTAAACAGAGAGCACCAGTTGGGCAATAGAATGAGCATTTCATACTGCATAAAAATTAGTGAGGTGGTTAAGAACCATCAACTGTCTCAGGCAATACTACATGGCCTTTCCAAAAAATTTAAATATACATGCAAGGCACACTGATATAAAAATAGATCTCTGGCCAACAAATATATTAAATAAGCAAATTAAAAAATTTGGCTCTACAATATTGGCAACATCAAAATATAACCAGATAGCTTTGGACCACACATCTTTTCACATTCCTCCACCTCATTTGGTGTTTTCCCCCATTATTTTGGGTTCCATTTCCTTCAAGTCTGAGTATGTGCTTGAGAAAGGACTTTTCCTTTTGTCAAGTAGCATTCCTTATACAGTTTACCGTTGCTAAGTAAAAATATAATAGAGAAACAATAGTTGGAAAATTTCACTGATTTAACTAAATTTGCTGGTTCAGGACAGTATTTCTCCTCTGTATGCAAATGGAAACAAGTCTCAGCTTACATAGTAGACACTTGTTTTTTAAAGGATCAGAAACAAGCCAACACTTCCTTTAAGCCACTTTTCCCATTTTCTCTTTTTCAGGCAGAGAGAGGGAACAATAAAAACAAAACCAAGATTTATAATATTTTCAGCAGTAGAAGACATTTTAAGGCCAAGAAGTGTAATATTAAACAGAATTTTTATTTTCTTAAGTTATTGTCATTCATAGGCCAATACCAACTATGGATTAGTTTCTGGTACTGATTCTCTCCCACAGAGAATTATAAAATTCACTCACTTTTGTTAGTGGCTGTGCTACAGAAAACGTATCAAAGCAACCTACAGTATATGTATGATATATAGTAATGTAAAAAGTGCATCACATTCTTGATTTTCAGTTTCTCATAGCAGCAGCAGAATTAATCTAAGACAGAAAACAGTTGTATTTTCATTCTAAAAATGCAATATATAATGAAATGTATTCAAGATCATGAAAATATTCTCTACAGAGGATAAATGAAAACAGACTAATAGACAAACAAAAGCAAACTAAAGGCTTTTTCATATTTACATATTAAAACTTTTGTTAACACCAACTTTACATCAAGCAAAAGAAATAATGCATTTTAAGAATAAAACAGACATTACTAAAGCAGTATCCATTTTGGAGCCTTTGTATATTAGCACCTGAGGAAAAAAGGGCATATGGAAAGCTATTTAATTTACCTCAAAATTGGTTTGTTGGTCTGTAGAGTACAACTTTGATATATAGTGAAAGCAAAACTGAGCTGGAAAATATAAACACTTGCAGATAGTTTCAATAAGGCTATAGAAAAAGGATACTGCAGTATTATAAAATGGCTTTCAAACTCTGGACTTAACAAAATTTTATGAATAAGGAAGTCTGAATCAACAATCTCATCACATGTGAAAAAAGCTGTTCCACAGTTTCTAACCCATAACTGCTATCGTATGACATTCCCAGCAATGTACCATTCGTGGGGTGTTTTATTTCAGAGACAACTAAAAATTCTATTGTTACTATTGCTGGCATCCTTTCTGTTCTAAGATCTTTCTTGAACAGCAAAACTGTGAAAATTAAAACTCAGTAAAACAGTGATTTTGAGTGGAGCCGATGATTCATCATTTTTAAAATCAACTCAATGTGGTGGTCCTGGTTCTTACTCTGAACAGACCAATGTTTAAAAAGAAACATTTTAAGATACTGAAAGCAGAAGCCCATCTTTTTCACCATAAACGAATCCTGATGCTGTCAATCAACAAAAAGAACATCAATTTTAAGATCTAATGTTGACTTATGTGCCTCTGGCAAACTTAAGAGCAGCTATTTATACTTCTAGTCTTATCCTCTACCCCCCTTTCATTTCAAATAACTACTGGTTGGGGTCAGGGGATAAGCAAATCCCACTCTCCTTCCTTTAAAATAATAATTTTGGAAACAGCTATTAAGACACTTTCCAGTCAGCATCTACCTTGACTGGAATAGAATCAATAGGCCTTATAAAACTATTGCCCCACCATATGTACTTATCTCCCTACAGTGTATCAATTATGCAGTTACCATATTTAAGGATTTGTATGCATAACTATACCCCTCATCCTTAGAAGTTCAATATTTAATCTACTTCTCTGGAGAAAGCTTATAAGAACAATGCTCTCTTTATTTGGTAGAATTTAAAATTGAGTAGTCCTTTAATTTCCTTGCCTGTGGCCATTTGGTATATGGCATACAATTTTACTAAATGGCTTTTTGTGTATAAACTCACAATAATTACAAAAGAAAATTCATTAAGAGGTCTCTGATGTGGGTGGACTAGCAACCAAATTTGAAATTTAAAAAATCAAATATGAAATTACTGCTGCTATGCTATATTTTATGAAAACATTTTATAATATGGACAACTTCCATAGTTAAGGTCTGTCATTTTTCTTAAAAACATGAGAAAACAATGTAGCAAGGTTTTTTTCCCCTTTATAAAAAAGGTTTTGCAGATTCTGAAGTGATGACTAGGTAAGCAGATTTAGGAGGACAGCAAAATACTAAAATGAAGATAAACTCTGGCCATTTCTTTTTTTTGGGGGGGGAAGCTGTCATTAGAAAAATTCTTGTTACTGGCTAATACCCTCATAGAAAAAGAAGGGTTACTACAGACGCTGTAAATACACTTTATGTTACGGTTCATTACTAAGGAAGTTAAAGGAAAAGTTATGCAATTAACGTCAGTTCAGCCAAGTGGGGGGTGAATAAAGAGAGATAAATACACCCTGTCTTTTGTGGGGAAGGGATTATTCAAGATATCTACACAAGAGTGGTATGTGACACAAAAGTCTACAATCAAGACAAATTAAAAAGAAATCTTCACCCATAATTAGTATCTTCATAGCTATTAAAAAAATAGGTCATGATTTCATTCTTAGTGCCATATTTGAAATACTACCCTTTTAAGGATTTAAACCACCTGACTTTATTCTGTGTAATGAAAACAAATGGCACAAAATAAATACAAGTTTCATTCTCTGAATACTAATAGGTCTTACACACATTCATTTACTAATTTTTAGTATCGCCATCTTTCCCAAACATCCAGCGCACACGCACACACACATGCGTGCGCACACACACACACACAAGCGCGCGCATACACCCCTTTTCAGTCTTTTTAATGGAGGGATGTTAAAAAATCCCCTCTAGACTGTATTTGGTTTATGCTACAGTACTAATACTCTGAGTTGAAGAAAAGTTTATACTGAACAATAACACATTATTATTTAAATGTGCTAAATCACAGCTGAAGTTTGTTTAGAAGCTTACACAAAAATAATAAGAAAACAGGTCAACTCTTAAGATTTTTTAATAAGTGCTCTGTAAGGAATTGTGTGAGGACCTAAGGAGAAAGACTGCGACAAGGAGAGTTAATTAAGTATAACCAAACAGCACAAAGGAGATTTGTCCCAAAGTCCTGCTTGTACCTAGGCAGTTAAGTCCATTAACCCAATGCCCCCCAAAATACTGACAGTTAATATGATGGGGCACTAGGGTTCCCAGAAAGTCTAAAAGACATTCCTAACTACTATATACCTCTAACCATATAATCAAGAAAATTTCAGGGGAGAAACCAAAGTGAAATGTTGCATTGTTTCATTTAGAAGACTCTCAAAAAACCTTTGGACAAACAGAGAAGGGATACATTCTTTTTAGCTTCTCTGAACAGAGGTCTCAGATGAGGGGAAATTGGGGGGGGGGCTTTTGAAAGGTATAAATTAAGTGTTGCTTCTAAAATAAGCCCAATTCAAATGGGGACTTTTTTTGTTGTTGTTTTGTTTTTTAAAATATATGCTCATTTGACCTCTGTAATGTCACAAATCCAGAAGTTTCTTGTGAGTTGTGAGACAGAAGAAATTTCAAATTTCAGGCAAGCAAAATGGACATTTAAAAAGGGGGAATAGGGTGGGGATCTGGCCCTAAGGCGACAAGTGGTTACACAAGGCAATTGAACACAGCAGAACTTTAAAACCTGTAAAACAAACTGGAGCTTTTTCTTTCTTGAATCAACTTTATCTTTTTTTTAACTTTTTGAAAATTTTTATTAAAAAACAAAAACAAAACAAACAAAAAAAGCCACAAAAACACAGACTTTTCATTTCAGTATGTGGCATGTTGAATTTTCCAGTTTGTTCAATGCTTTAAAGCTCAAGGGTGCCTCTGCTTTCAATTGTACATGGGCCCGAAGCATCCTAGCTTTTGGCAAGCAGGCAGGAGACTCAACAAAAATCAAAACAGGAACAAGGCAGACTAAATGCAGGGCATATCTGTAAACATATTATACAATTGAAAATTACAATTATCAGTAAAAGTGATACAGTTTACAGGTGAAATAAACTATCTGGAACTGGCCTACCACAAGTTTCTGAACCTGAACTGATACAGTAAGTTATTATATATATATATATAATA